TCTTTGGTACCGATGTAATCAGTGGATCGATTCTAGAGCTAAATATAAGATCGATCCATCAAGATCGATCTTCCTCTGAAGATCGCTCAATCCTAGATCGGAGGCGAATGTCACTTCGCCTTGTTTCATCTAGGAACCATTCTATTCTCTGATGACTGTGTTGGGGAAGCAGCACATGCATGTACGTAATTGGTGGATTTGTTAGTTATTTCGAAGCTTTTTGACAATGCTAGACATATACCACTTTTTCAATAGTTTTAATTTGAAAATCAACAGTCGAAAGCATCAACTTTTGTAAATAATTTGCTAGGTCCTTTTCACGAGAACCGAAGTACGCCCACGCCAACCAATAGCACTATTGGGAAGGGAAGAATTTCCCCATACCCGATGGTGTTGTTAGTTTGCGTGGGCGTATTCGGTTCGCGCGAAAAGGGCTTAACAGGTTTTGTGTACAAAAGTTGATAGGCCCGGTTCAAATGTTACGCGAGTATTATTCATGTGTTCATTTTTAGTAAACAGGGCCCTAGGGCGAGTCAGTGAACTCAAATCCATCCGTGCACTCGTCTATATAGGGAGCTGCACCGTCGGGTTAACCTCACTTATTTTGACATCTGGCAGTGGTTTGTTTACATGGACTTAGAAAAAAAATTAAAAATTTATTAAATGTTTTTTTAGATTTTTTGAAGAGGAATATTTTTCAAACGAACATAGTCGGATATCGTATCTTTCAATTTTTAAAGGGGGAGGTAGCTCATCGATTCTTCCGGTTCGCCTCCTAGCATCGTGCTATAAGGTACCAGGCGATAACCAGGGTAGTTGATCGATAGCTCGATGACGTCATTTCGTTGGCGTCTGCAGTGGGAAATTCTCATCGCAGGCGTAGAGTTGTTGAATAGCAACTATCGTGGTAACTCACCGATTACCTGTCGATCTTCCAAATTTGGAAAGACGTCTGCATTCAATTGTCTCATATAATAATATTCCGCCCACTATATCACAAGCAATTGCGAGTAGCTGAGTGGAATGGAGATAAGTTAAGCATTGGGTACAGGACCAAGTCTCCCCTGGGTGGTGCCAGAAGATGAGCGCAATAGAATCATCAAGTTGCCATAAGGCACGGAATAAGACTATTGCATTTGTTAGTCCTTTCAGGTGGCTCTCGCTGGATACGCCCAAGACTGGACGGGCGGTAGCTGGTGGCCGTGAACGGTTCCTGAGGAAAGCACTAGATGCGACCCTCCTCCCAGATGATCATGGCAATACAGGAAGTATTACAACAAAGGTAATTGCTATCAGATATTTTGCAAACAGTGACAGATAGCGGACATGAAGAACCAGTGGAAGTGCCGGGCAAAGGTGTTTATCCTAGACAAATGGTAAATTACAAATTCCATGTTGTCGTTGTCGTAGGCGCCGTCGTAGTCGCTGTTGTAATCGCCGTCGTAGTCATAGGCAGTACCGTTAGTATATTTAAAATTAACCACCAACCGCTGAAAATATGAATTATCGCGTATTTCTGTTGTTCATTACATGCCAAGTGAAATTCGAGAACGAAATTTCATATTAATAGCTTGTTTAACCAGGTCCTAAACAATCGTTACATCGGTCATAGCTTGTTATGATTGCCTGAACCATGCGTAAAGAGGAAATCGAAACATTGAACGTCGCGTAAAAGTGGATCTTAATGAAGGCCTAAGTACTCTTTCGTAGCTTTTAGTTTTAGGATTTCAAAGATCGTCGGTGGTAGTGGCTTGCTTACTGAGCAGAAAAACACGGTCCCAGGTCCTTTCATATTAAAAATGTATGGTAAGATCGCTTGTTAAACGTGTATTTTGTAAAACTTTTCAGTGCCGTCAGTGCCGGGTTTGAATAGTTATACAAACATGAGTAACGCTATAATGTGATATGAGAGACTCGGTGGCCTTAGAGCAACCGTTTTTGCTTACTGAGCAGAACGTCATGAGTCTAATCTCAAGCCCATCCACATTCAAGATTCGTCAATAATTAAAAAGGAGCTCGTCTGCCTAGTGGCAAACGTTTTTGCTTACTGAGCAGAAGACCGTGGGTTCAATTCCAAGCTCCTTCGCGTTATATGATGGTTAGGACATCAATTCAGCTTATCGTTTACCAAAACGAAGCCTGCTGCAAACCCAACCCTATTACCCAATATCCCAGTGATTCCTCGTGGAAGTGCAGAGGTGTTCTTCCATCAAAGCGAGTGTCACGTCAACACATTCCTACCCCTTCCTTTCTTGACCTGTGTTCGGGCGCAGCCGGCGCTGGTATTGCCTAGTTTGAGATCACCAGTTTTTACACATTGAGGATGATTGCTAGTCCCAAGCAGCGTCTATTGGTTCTCTGTGTAATTACAGCTGGTCTGGCAATAACAGAGTAGCAACCGTGGGCGGTCAATCATGCGCATGCTCATGCTATCGTATCTTTCAATTTTTAAAATACGTTAAACACTTCCGCCATCTACTCATCCGATCGCGTCATATCATGAGCAAGGACACGAACCCACGTATAATTTATATTGCCATGGTTTGCGTCTAACCTCGTTTGACAGATCTGATCGCCCGTTTGAAAGTTCAAATCGCTCGTTTGACAAATCTAATTGTGGACAAACGAAATGCTGCTCCTGTGGCATGTAATTTCATCGGTGGTGAAAGGATGTTGCTCGTGGATATTGCAGAAGTGTGGTTTACATACCACTGCAGTCTGAAAAATTATCGAGAAAATCCAGGGAAATGATCAACCCGATTCGTACCTTCCTCAAAGTTGGCCTTGTTCGCTTCCTACTCTCTATATACAATTTTCACACTGCCGTACTCTAACGGAACTATCATCGTATAAAAATTACCATTTTAGTCTGTTATTTGAAATTAGCATCTTCAACTATGCAAAATCGTTGACTTCACGCAGAAGTAATACAAAACATATAGTTAAAGTTGGTTAACTTGATATTCCGAGCTGCGATATTACTGTTTGCTTATTGATTTTTGTCTACGAAAATCAAGCGTGATTTTTATTGTTGGTGAGATTTTATTGTCTGATATTTTCCCAACACTGGTGGTGACTCTCCATTCGATTTGCACGGAAAGTCACCTCACTTCACTCGCTGCGCAGAATAAAGGGGATTGCCTCATACTGAATTGATGATAGTATCGAGGTTTTAGGCTGTGGGGTCGACAATACTCAAAATAATCATTTTGCTCAAATTGAATTTGATTATTTTGCTTTTCTCCTTCTCTTACGTGCTCGATCCTCATTCTCATTTTAACAATTTTGAGTTGGATAATCAAGCACTGGTGAATATCAACAAGCGCGTATTCGTTCATTTCCATCGTACGTTACAGAGAATATTATCAAAGCAAACGCTATTCATCTACACTGGGTTGAAGCGTGTGATGGTAAATGATAAAAACAGACACTGCTACGGAGTCTCGTCTCCGTCTTTAGGGTAAGAAAAAATGTTATTGTCCAAAATAGAAGACCTGGCAAAACAATGTTCACAACCTTTCTCAAAAGAATTAAATGAAAATTCAAGCAATGCATCAAATCAAATAACCAATTAACCTTAGATTACTGTAAATTTGCTATACAAAACAACTTTTAAACTCATGCAGTTCACTACAATAACAACTCCTTAGCTTATTTATTGCCCACTTACACTCTGCATTCTCCAGTCTGCAATCATCTCTGTACTCTCAACCTCCATCCTACGCCACACTCGAGAAAGAAATTCAGATCCGAACAATGACTGCAATGCTCATCAGAAGAAGAAAAACAAGCACAAGCAAATCAACTGACCCAAGGGTGAACGAAAATGGATCGGGTAGGTTGCTCCACCCATTCTGCACAACCAAATGGAAATGTATTAAAATGCAATCCAATTTAGTGCATCCACTGGACGACACTTTCTTCGGTCAGTTTTTGCCGGGAATTATTTGCATCGGCATCTTTTTACGACAACGGCGACAATGTACTGCAACTGCAGACGCAGAGCCAAGATTGGTTATTTATGCATGCACCGGGAGTCCGTCCGAAGCATCCCAGTCGGTGGCTAGTGGCCTCAATTGTGACGAATAATGAATATGTCTGATCTGCTTGCCATCTGCTTCTCTGTGGTAGGGCCTGTTGGATAAACGAGAAAAGAAACCTACCTCGAACTCGCTGGATCAGCTGAAGTGCACTTATTCGGTATACTACTGCGCCTACTCGAGTGTCTACACCCAACCGAGAAATGTAATAATTTTGTAATTTTTATGCTATGCGAATTTAATTCTGAAAAAAAACTTGCTTGCTTGCTTGTTACAAGAAAATATGCAGAGGATGTAAGAAATCGACCCTTGCAGTTGATGTTCATGCCATTTGTTTTGCGTGTATCTATCTCTCAATCATCGGAATAGTAGTTGACAAATTGCACCACACACACACACACACACACACACAGCATTAATTATCTTGAAACGGTCGTGTCGTTTGCCTCGGATAGAGGCAAAAATCATTACACGACAGCGATTGCCGGTGATTAAGGTTGGAGGAATTCAATCTTGTGAAGGTACTTACTACTGCCGCTGCTCTGGCATGGAATGTAAGTGCACAAGTTGTTGAGACGGCAAACGCTAATTATGCCATCAATCGACAGAGATGAGGAAGACTATTAGAAACGTGATTTTTACGTATCTGGGCTCACGTGTGGGATGGTAACACGGGGTTGAGTTGAAGATAGTATCTATTTTTTTTTTGATATCAGATGAGTTTCACCACGGAGCTCTGATATCCAGAGCAAACTCGACGGCTTAATGGACGCAGTTGGTGACATTTACCAAATACTTGAATGTCAAGATGTCCAGTTGATAAAACAGCACTCGTAGTGTCGCATAGGGACTGAACTGAATAATTCACATAATTTAGACATTAGAACATAACTTTCGATATTTCCTATTTTACCCCACATTCAACTAACCTGTCAACCATTCTCTTGCCCTGCTTCGCAGACAACCGCACCCACGATGGACGAGCGGCGGGTGGCGGATTACTTCGTGGTGGCCGGCATGCCGGAGAACCCGAAGCTACTGAAGGAGAACATCTTCAGCGATTCGTCCCACCTCCGGTCGGCCGTCACGATCGATCCGATCACCGACATCGGCGTCTTCTTCCCCTCGCTCGGGGAAAAAATTCCCGCAGACTACGAAGTGCTGGAAAACACACCGTCCAGTCTGCTGGCAGATCTCAACTATGGTTCCGTGCGAACCACGGCCTGTTTCATATACTACCGCCGGGGGAAGGACAAACCGCCGCTGGTCGATATCGGCGTCATGTACGAGGGCGCCGAGCGGATCATGTCCGATGCGGAAATCGTCTACAATACCCCGGGTGACCGGTTGGCCAATGTGAACAATTCATCCGCCAAGACGTTTCTCACGTTTCGGAGAGCCAAGAATGACATGCCCTGCAACGAGCTGGTTGTAACCGATCTGTGCGTGGTGATCCCCTCGAAGGGAGAGAAGCCACCGCATGCCTTCTGCATGATTCACAAAACGCTCAACAAGGGCATCATGGGCAGCGACGTGTACCTGTGCTACAAAAAGTCCATGAACCGTCCGAAGCTGATCAGCTACCAGCCGGAGATTATGCATCGCTATCCTACGGTCGATCACAACGACTTTCCGCTGAATCTGTGTCCCAGTGTGCCACTGTTTTGCCTGCCGATGGGGACGACCTTGGAAGCATGGCCCCATGTGCCCGGTGGCGATGGGAAGGTATGTTGTGCCGTTGTTCGTGCGAAACTCTATATTTGATTCGCTTATGCTTTTGTTACAGCTGAAGCGGAAACCAATACAGCCTATATTTAGCACATTTGTGCTAACCGTCAACGATGGAACCTACAAGGTGTACGGTTCTGCCTTAACGTTCTACGAAGATTTCGAGTAAGTATTCCAGGTTTGTTACTCAAGAATTGAGTTTCCTCTAACGTATGTATTCCTCGCAGTGAAAAACTACTCAACGACCAGCAGCGAGAGCTTCTCGAGTGGAGTCCGGACTCGCACAAGACCTATTCTCTGCATGTGAACAAATCCATCTGTCTGCTGTCCAGGTGGCCCTTTGGAGATACCTTCGAAAAATGGCTCCAATTTTTGCACGTAGGTCATCCTTTTTATCCCAGTCAAAGAAGCATACTTGAAAGATTTTTCCCTTTCAGCAAATCTCCATCTACAACGAACCACTTCCGGTTCCAATCGAGCGCTACATCACCCACCTGCTCGACGAAGTGCCATTCCCATCTCCAAGCATCATGCTGCAGCTTTCCAACATTAACAACGATCGAATCCTGCTCACTCTTCCGGAGGATTCGCCTCTGCCCCGAAGCGGTGCCGGATTCCGCCAACTACTCTCCAACCTGGGCCCGGAAAACTGTCTCCACGTGCTGCTCCTGGTGATGACCGAGCAAAAAATCCTCATCCACTCGTTGCGACCTGCCACCCTGACGGCGGTCGCCGAAGCCGTCTCTTCCTTCCTCTTTCCCTTCAAATGGCAGTGTCCCTACATTCCGCTGTGTCCTCTGGGCTTGGCAGAGGTCCTGCACGCTCCGCTTCCCTACCTTATTGGAGTGGATTCGAGGTTTTTCGACCTGTACGAACCTCCGAGCGATGTGACCTGCGTCGATCTGGATACGAACACAATCGGTTTGTGCGAATCGCAGAAGCATCTCAATACCAAGCTGCTCCCAAAGCGGGCGGCTCGCATCCTGAAGCAGACCCTGCGGAACTTGGACGAACTCAATCAAACCGGTGGAAACGAATCGTCCAACAGTCTAGATCGGGACTTCAAGAAGAAAAAACGCGAGCAGAACCTCGAACAGCGAATACAGGAAGCGTTCCTCCAGTTCATGGCATCGATTATGAAGGGTTACAGAGATTATTTGGTACCGATTTCGAAGGCACCGACGTGTGGTGCCACCGACCCGGACGCACTGTTTCAGTTGAATGCCTTTCTGAGGTCGCGGGACAAGGCTCACCACAAATTCTTTCAGATGCTCATGAAGACGCAGATGTTCATCAAGTTCATCGAAGAACGTTCCTTTGTGTCCGATGGCGATCACAATTTGGCGTTCTTTGACGAGTGCGCCGAGAAGGTTAGCACCTACGAAGATACTCCCACAGAAGTGAAACTGATCGAATGGGACTGCGGTCACGGCAGTGAGCGAACCAAAGTGATACTGCCTCCGGAATGCCAACCGGGGCTGCAGGATCAAAGCTTCTGCTACAGCTCGTTCATTCTGAATCCGATTTTGTTGAAACAGTCCCGACGGAGCATGCTAGTTAATGCGCTTCAGCATCACAACAGTTTGGCGCCCGGTTCGCCGATGGCCCGTCGCACGAAGCATGAGATTAAAACGGCCCAGAAGCTTGCCCGCAAGAACCAGGGCAATCCAGAACTCTGGGCCAAGCACCTTCTGGCGGCCTGCTATTCGATCTATTTCATCGTCCTGCCCAGTTTGATTTCCGAAAACGCTGGTCGGGAACACGCCATCCTGAAGGCGGCCTACGATCTGCTTGGCAAAGCAAGCAAACTAAAGATCCAGTGCGACGAAGTTTGCTACCGTATAATGATGCAGCTATGCGGAATGCACAACCTGCCTGTCCTGGCCGTTCGGCTTCACTACCTGATGAAGCGCTCGGGGATTCAACCGAACGCGCTTACCTACGGATTTTACAACCGGTGCGTACTGGAAGCTCAGTGGCCTTCGGATTCCATCCTTTCCAGCCAGATGCGCTGGAATCGTCTTCGTAACATCGTAATGGGCGCTGCCCACTTCAAACGGGCCGGTAAGAAGTTTGCCGCCCGTCGGAGACTCTCCGTATCGCAAGAGAACAACCTCAGCACCTTGGAGTCCGTCGATGGAACATCCCGAACCAGTCTGGATTCGGGAATATCCCAGGCGGAACATCAGTCCACCTCCACCATCGATTTTGCGGCCTTCGATAAGCTCCGCGGACGGTTGGGTGCCATCGTACGGCAGTCCGCAGCTCATCAAGAATCGTCGGATGTCCTGTCCAGTGCCGGTTTGCTCATCAGCGGCGAAGCGGGACACCACTTGAAGAACAGCCCGAAAGAAAAGCAATCGTCCTTCAAAGCCCCGTCAGCGGCAAGTTCGTGCGATTTAAGTCCTCGCATGTTGGCCCGAGCTGACAGTTTCGCCGGAGATTCCAAGTTTATCGATAAACTACAGAGGCAAGGGATACACTTCCCAAACGGCGCAGTCACACCGAATGGGACGATCGGTGACAGTGCGGTGGGCAAGGTAAAGCGGGCTTTGGATTTTGAAAACGAGAACGAGAACAGTTCCCAGGAAGAACTGACGGATGACAAAGGCAACGGAAAGGGAAGTCCAACCAAGTGAGTTGCCAGCGGAGGTGTTTGGAAATTCAGCAGTGTTTTGATAATAACTTCCAATTTCAGGGTATCCCCGCGCACGTTGGTAACCCAGGATGATCCGCTGGGTGCGCTGAATGACGACGGAAACGACGAGGTGTTGGAGGTGCGCCAATCAACCGAGAAGCTGACGTTGGCGGGTGGCCAGAATGGAATCCATCACAACAACACCATCTACACGGATCAGCCGATTCTGTTCAAGGGACAACGGTCGGCAACGTTCGACGATTCGCTGCAGCTGAACAAGAGCATGCACCGGTCGGAGACGATGCCGGTGACGAGTTCGGTGACGTCCAGCTTCGCCAGTATCGGCTCGACGCTGAAGTTCAATTTCGGGTGAGTTGTGTGTTTTGTGGTAATCGTTCAGTTCTTTTGTGTCGTCTTTCTTTTAATTTAGATAGAGACAGTTTTGTCGAGTAATTGTTGGAATGATGCATGTGTTAATTCGATCATCCCGTTACTATAGATAGGGTTCGCTCGAGAGTTCCGAATTCTCGAGCAAGGGGCGCCGACGTTGGATTTGAACTAATAACCTAATAATAGCTCTTATTGAACACTAAACTAGAATCTGCTCGCAACATAAAGACTGTTCCGTCCGGGGGAACGAGCTAAGTGGACTGGTACACTTCGATGGGAGGAGGCCAAAGCTAGCGGGTAAGGATCCCTCGCTGGGTGCTTTGCCTTCTGTGGACACTCCGTCTTTTTGAAGCCCGAGGCACGTTACAACTTTTGGTAGACTTTCCTTAACACTTCGAAAACTTGGGACTGCGATAGTTTGGAATAATAAGGCGGAATTTAATCACTTAACGACTAATTTATTTGGAACGATAGCTTTTGCTTCCGATCGCATTGGAATCTGATTTGATTATGTCCTTTTGCGGACTGTAGGTAGGCATATCCTGTTTGCTTTCACGCAGTGGTGCCGGAACCGGAAATCCAATTTAATAAATTCACTGGCCACCCTGCTTTACTGATCAGGCTATTTGAGGTCCCACAATAACTATAAGACCCCTAGAAGAATTATTCCATAAGTCCTGTGGGCAAGATCTCCAAACCTTCCGGAAGACTTCCCAAGCAAATTCAATCCTAATCATTCCACCAAGTCGGCGCCATACCTGCCTCGAGCCAAACCACCACAGTCATCTGCTCAGCTCATGTACCCACCTAGTTTTCCCTCCTAATAGCGCGTTATAATTTTCCATTCTCATAACCATGTTTATATTTTTGGTAGCCGTTACTCACCTGCACGTTTATCCATGAAAAAAGATTTCAAATCCCTCTCGACGAATGTGATAGAAAGCATTTCCAGCGTCAGGTAAGTGCACGCCATTTTCTGAACTGTTCTTATTTGATCGTGATCGTTCAATGTCCTTGTTGAGTGGAACCCTCCCTGAGCTCGTGGCATGTCTCCAATCAAGTTTTCCCCTCCCGATTTCGCCTAACAGCCCCAGTCTGACGGGTAAGAAATCGAACGAGATTCTCCAGGGTGGACTGAGCAGCATCAAGAACGCAGCCACCTCGGTTGCGAAGAAGCTGGACGAGATCAAGGAAGCCATCTCGGCCAACTCGACGCCGGTAAAGACGGGCTCCGGTACGATCATCGGCAGCAACGGACTGGATCGGGAAGGACTCGGTTCGGAGAGTGACCTGATGAACGAGGACGGCAGCGTCGGTATCAATGGAAACCGATCGCGCCGGGTGTCCAGCGAATTCGACCTCTGGGGGCGGTTTAGCGAGTCCCGGAAGTCCAGCTACAATAATCTAGTGCCTCTGGGGGAGAACACCACGTCGAGCAATAGTTTGAACACATATCCCACGCTGCCGGACAATATCTACACAGCGGTTGCGGAGGTATGTCCAATTCGGTGTTGCCTTGATGAACACGTGTCCGATATGAGCTTTGTTTTGTCTTGTTTTCCTAGGTTTCGGAACCGAACGAATCGGACTTTGTGATACAGATTACGTCCTGTTCGCAGTGCCACAACTGCTCGGTACTGCTGTACGACGAGGACGTGATGGCCGGTTGGTCGGCGGAAGATTCCAACCTGAACACCACCTGCCATGCTTGCGGTAAGGTTACAGTACCATTCCTGAATATTTTCATCATTTCCGAGGAACTGCGGTCGAATAAATCGGCGATGGCCAAACAGCAACAGCAGCAAACAGACGTAATCACCGTGCCATATCTGAACCCGCTGGTGCTTCGGAAAGAACTGGAGAACATCTTGGGTCAGGAAGGAGACCTCGCCCTGGCCAAAACCAGCTTCGTTGAAGAGCATCCCATAATCTACTGGAACTTGGTATGGTACATGGAGCGTATCGACGTCAGTACCCATTTACCGAACCTCTGTCTGCCGAAAAAGGTAGGTTCTTTCTCGACAAAGTAAGGTTAGATTTGTTGACCATTGTTGTCCATCTCTGCCGTTTCAGGAGGGAGAAAATGTCGATCCTTTGAGCAACCTGAAAACTGTATCGGTTCACTGTCTGTGGGACAATCCACGGTTACACTCAGAGGCCGGACCAGCCATGTACATGCTCTGGCGGCAGAACCAGCCGGCTAGTCCGCTGTTGAAGGCTCTCCTCACCGATCAGACTTCGATCAACCGGGCGTAAGTTCCACCATTTATAACCCTATCACACCCCTTATAACCCAAATTTCCTCCGAACATACCCAGGGTCATGCAACAGGTGATTGCCTCAATCCGCTGTAGCGATCTGCTAACTCCGGTCAAACGGTTGGCCAACGAGCGGCACAAGCTCAAACACCGGGGCGTCGATCGTACGCACTCGATCTACCGGGACCTTCTGTTCCTGGCACTTATTGCCATCGGCCGGTCGAACATCGATCTGATTTCGTTCCATCGCGAGTATGCGGCCGTGTTCGACAAGCTGACCGAAAAGGAGTGCAACATGTACTACCGCAGCCAAGATCTACCGCCATCGTCGGCAGCCATCTTCTGCCGGGCCTACTTTAAGCCCCTAATGCTGCCCTGACCGCAACCGAACCGACTGCGGTACGACTTCGGTGCACTGCGATCCAGTGCCCAGGTCGTCTCGCCAAGAAACGGCAGCAGGTAGCTCAGACAAACGGCAAGAAATAGGGTCGCTTACCTTCGCAGGGCAAGGTAAGTGACCGTAAGTGATAGAATCGTTGTTTTTGCTGAAAAATTATTCACAAACACAAGAGAGGACAACAATAAATTATACGTAGGTAGCAATGTCAGCAACGCTTCATTTTCATCCATTTCCCCCGTTAGGAATCGCTAATTAGTAAAATATTTCCATCCCATCAAACATAACCTATAGCACCGACTTGCAGTGAGGTTAGGACCTTATAACCCCAATTTACGATTTATCCATCCTGCTTAAATAGGGCAATGAAACTGCAACAACAGAGAAGATTATATATATATCTAATAAAGGGAGCTTGAAAACTAATAACAACTAACCCCTAGCGAAAATGTCCCGTTAACAAACCGAAATGAGATTAGTCATACCCAATAACAACCAAAACGACGCCCGCTCAACGCGTCAACGCAATCAGATTATTAAAACTACTTATGACCCCTGTGACTGCGCCTACTTTGATCAACTAGCACCTTGCTAGCTGAGAAACAAACAACAAATTTCGACGGAATTATGTGATACAAGTACGTTTTCCTTTCTACTCGCAAGTAAAACAAAAGTTTGATAATAAATAAGCATTCGCACTTGTAAGATTATATTTTTTTTTTCGATTTCGTGACGATACTTTATCATATATGTTGGCGAAGATGGTGAACGTAAAGCTTTTTTTAAGTGTTAGTTAATATGTTTGTTAGGCAATAATGGTTTAGAGAGCAGGTGAACCGATTTTTAGTAAGGAGCTTTGTACTTTCTTATTTGTTAGATTTAGTTTATTTTTGCGCTCTGTGTTGATGGTAAAAGGCACGGCAACAACAATAACAGAATTAACGGTTAGGTAAGTGTTACTTCAAAGCCGCACGCACGGCAAAAAGAGAAGCTGTTTGAAGGTTATGTTAGGGTTACTGGTTCAGAGGACATGGCTGACAAATAGATGAAACAAATCTAGAGGAAATATATGTACGATTCTATGATAAGGGCATATTCTAGCTGATCGGTTTAGTGAGGATATCACAGCCATTACCGGTACTGTCACATGAAACGTCCGCATAGCATTCTGATCCACAGTTCTTCGCATCTGCAGTGTTATTATTTTGGTGTCTTTGTGGACTATACTGCAGGGCTGGTAGTGAGTCTTGGTCACTTTTTTTCAAGCCAGTCACTAAAAAGTCTCTTTTTTAAGGTCAAGTCACTAAAGTCACTTTTTCTTGTAATCAGTCACTATTTTCAACTATTTTAGCGTGAATTTATTTCAATATTGATCATTATTTGCTTTGTGACGTTTAATCGTCTTTCTCTATCTACAGGCTGTCTACTCATTTTTCAAAATAAAATTTCCTGAGTTTTACAGGTTTTCCCAGAACTTTAACGGATAAATTCAAGGCTTGTAATAAGAAAGCTTTTTTAAATGCGTTCAAAATATGCTTTTTCTTGAAGATCAAAAGTACCGTTCCGATTCAAATTTCGGACGATTCAAATTTCGGACACTTTCATTTTTAATTAAATATTACATCCAGTTAGAAACAAAGTAATAATGTTAGATGATCGTGGAGGGCACTAGTCAAAAAAATTTAAAATTTACAAGACATGTGGATCATTTTCGACCGAGATAATCAACTTTTAAAAGTGTCCGAAATTTGAATCGGCACGGTAATTAACCCAAGCGTGCCTGAATTAAGGAAAACATTAAATGATTTATTTCAAGTTCGTAATTAAGTTTATGAAATCTTGAAGGGACGAACGGGATACTCCAAACGAAGTATACGGTTTAACAGGAAAAACGGAGAAAAGTTTATTTAAACGCCTGTACTACACGAAGTGCGATTGTGGAATGCACCGAGGGGGTCGACTCTATCTACGATGCAAAAAAGATTGTGTTTTGCTGTGGCTAGCTGCGCGCACGCTGACTAGATAGAAAGAAGATTGATGACGATTCTGAAGATTTCCTGCAAAAAATTGATCAGCGATGCAAGTAGATGCGACAAATGAAAGAAGATTGTTCGAAAATTGATTCGCTAGTGTGAGATTTGTTGACCATCTAAACTTGAGATTTAGATGTGTCGTCCCCCTCGGAATGAACAGTTATTAATTTTCACAAACAGGTAACGGGTCGTTGCCAGGGAGGGCTTCCCAACAACGTAATAGGGGAATGCGACGGCTGATTACCTACTACGCCAACACGCCCTCTCAATCGGCCATTCCAAAGCCTTGGCACAGCTTCTCCATGCGCACTGCGTCCACCGGTTTGGTGAACAAATCCGCCAGTGGCTTCTCGGTACTGATATACTTCACCGCTACACATCCATTCGCAATGTGGTCCCGGATGAAGTAGTGCTTGATATCTATATGCTTGCTTCTCTCGATTTCACAATTCTTCGCCATACCTATCGCTCCTTGATTGTCCTCAAATATTACGACCGGATCCGCAGGGCGCTTCAATTGAAGATCTTCCATCACTCCGGACAACCAGATCGCTTCCGAAACAGCAGAACTCAGCGACACCTACTCCGCTTCACTCGAAGATGTAGAAACGGTAACCTGCTTTTTGCTCGACCCCGATACAGGATTACCGAATACCGTGAACAGGTAACCGCTGACTGACTTCCTGTCTTCCGCATCCGATGCCCAGTCGGCGTCAGCATATCCGACCAACGCTTCCGCTGATTCGTCGCGTACAAACTTCAGGTGCTTCGTTTTCGTCCCTTTCAAATACCGTACTATACGCTTGAGGCATTGCCAATGGTTAACTATTGGGTTCTGTTCGCTTCACGAAAATAGCATCGTCACGGCATCTAGGTGTGAATATTTGCGGCATGTCAGCACCAACCATCCCGTTCATCGACAACGGCTCCCTTCGGAAATTTGCGATTCAACTCTTCCGGCGAACCAAACAGAAGACGACCTGTTATAAAAGCCGAAGCAAGATTGTTCTTGATGATCAGTAAAAGTGACAACACGACCCCCATCATCATCAATATCATCAAGTGTACCCGCTAGTGAACCAGTAGAGAAGAGTAATAAAATTGAATTTGAATTATTTGTATTAATTAGTAATAAAGTTAGAAGTTATTTGAAGTTAGTGAAGTGATAAATAAATGAACTAAGATTATCGCAAAATACTTACCTGTGCTGTGATCTCCCGCGAAGGCCAGAAAGAGAGTAAAACGTCAAGAAACTTACCCGCCATAGTGCATATGTCCCCGTTGTGCTATTGTGTAGTGGTGAATAAGGATTGAGCATAGAAACAAGTTTTTAAAACTGAGTGATTCGAACATATGGTCCTTCGAACCGGATTACGGCCGTCGAACTCCGTCCGTTCCGATAACTGTCCGTTGTGAGACAACCGCCATCGCTACTACCAACCACCTAGCGCACGGTCCGCCATCATAGTCCGTGGAACAATCGCGAAGTAGCGTTGGAACCCGCCATCACTTTCGCTAATTCAATAGCTATACAAGGCACATTTGGCCTTTTCAAAGGTAATTAGATTTTCTATTTCTTCTACCCTTTCTCGTGTGATCTGCGCGGTCTTTCGCTTTGCAGACCACTGTCGCCGTTCATCATGTCAACGGAACGTCGCATCAAGGGATTGAAGACCAAGCTGAAGAGCCTAACCGTCTCATTCAACCTTATCAAGACGTTCGTTAACAGTTATCAGGAAGAAAGGGATGCCTTCGAGATACCGGTACGCCTTGAGAACCTCGATAAGGTGTGGACCGATTTTCAGAGCACTCAATCGGAGCTCGAATCCGTCGATGAGACGATCGACGAGCAGCTTAAAGAACGGGTCGACTTTGAAACCGCCTACTACCGGGTGAAAGGTCTTCTACTATCCAAAAATAAATCTCCGTTATTGACGTCCATGACTACGTCTTCTTCTTCAAGCTCACAAGTCCATAGTTCGTCGTTGCATGTGCGCTTACCCGACATAAAACTTCCTACGTTTAGTGGAAACATCGACACCTGGTTGAATTTCCATGATCTGTATGTCTCTCTGGTTCACTCTTCTGTCGAATTATCTAACATCCAGAAGTTTTACTACCTTCGTTCCTCTCTGGCTGGAGAGGCCTTAAAACTGATTAAAAACGATTACCATCAGTGCCAATAACTACCACGTGGCCTGGAATCTGCTGGTTGAGCATTATCAAAACCCTTTGCGTCTGAAGCAATCGTACCTCGATGCTCTTTTCGAAGTCGGTACCCTGAAACGTGAATCTGGGGCCAATTTACATCTGCTGGTAGAGGGCTTCGAAGCCAACGTGAAGGTGTTGAAGCAGCTCGGTGAGAGAACCGAGTTTTGGGACTCCATTCTGATCCGTATGCTCAGTGTCCGCCTAGATCCCACAACTCGGAGGGACTGGGAGGAATTATCTTCAACTAAACCAGACGTGACGTTCAAAGATCTGACAGCCTTCATCCAGCGAAGAGTGACTGTTCTGCAAACGATCCAGGGAAAAGCTGTCGACACTCCAGCATCTACTCAACAGATGAAAAGGTCCAGTCAACGTGTCGTTGCTAGTCATGGGGCCAATCAAGTTCACGCTGGCCGGAAATGCGTCGTGTGTTCTGATCATCACCCACTCTATATGTGCCAGCTGTTCTCGAAACTCGACGTCGAAGCGAAGGAAAAGGAAGTTCGCCGTCATCAACTATGCCGCAACTGCCTGCGCACGGGTCACCAAGCTCGAGACTGTTCGTCATCCAGTTCCTGCCGAAAGTGTCGAGGTCGTCACCACACACAGCTCTGCTCCGGGATGAATTCTGCCACTGTAAGCTTCAGGCAACCAAGTCCTATATCAACAGCCACAACATCCTCCTTTGGTTTGTTTTTTCCGTCGATCTTGTTTTCCGTGCTGAGCACCAATGCTACCGACGTGCCAGGAAGGCAGCTCCCACACCTGGACCCTACCTATCGACCCATCAACTCATGAACCGGGGACCAACGGTTTTACTTCCCATCCGAAGGAAGGCGTGATCAGAGATGTTATGCCTCAGAACATCCCGGCGGCGCCGACTGGGATTGAACCCAGGCCTGCTGGGGTGAGAGGTAATCACGCTTACCACTACACCACCGGCGCCGTTAATCCACAACATCCTCTGCGAAGCTCGAACAGCCGAAAGCATCTGTATCCGCTACTTTCACCGGACCTTCAAGCCATGCAAGCACCGGTCAAGCACGAAAGGGCGTGCTTTTGGCTACCGCAGTCGTTAAACTAGTGGACGACAACGGCACTGAACATTTTTTTTTATATCTTTATTAAGGAGACTTTCAGCCCTGGGCTGGTTCGTCTCCTAGCACTGAACATGTTGCCAGAGCGCTTCTCGATTCCGGTAGTGAATGTTGCTTCATTACCGAAGCACTCTCGCAAGTCATCAAATCTCAACGCACAAAAATATCCGTTCCGATCAGTGGCATTGGGCAATCATCAACGTACGCACGGTACAAAATCGTCGCTTCGATTCAATCAAGGGTTTGTGACTACTATACCTCTGCCGAGTTCCTTGTACTGCCCAAAGTTACCATCGATTTGCCATCTGTTCAAGTCGACACTTCTTCTTGGAATATTCCCCCGGTGTTCAGCTAGCCGACCCATTGTTCTACGAATTAAATCCAGTGGATATTATCATTGGCGCAGAAGTATTCTTTGAGCTCTTTAAGGTTTCAGGTCGCATTCAGCTTGGCGAATCCCGTCCGACCTTGGTCAACTCGGTTCTTGGTTGGATAGTGTCTGGAAAGACTTCGCACGGCACTCCGAGGTCTCCAATCATCGCCAATGTTGCAACGATCACCGATTTACATAAGCTCATCGAAAAGTTTTAGTCAATCGAAGAAGACGAAAGCACTCCAAACCATTCCGTCGAAGAAGCCGCTTGCGAAGAACACTTTCGACACACCGTGAAGCGAAACTCTGAGGGAAGGTACATTGTTCGCTTACCCGTGAAGGAAAACGTCATCGAACAACTTGGTGACAACCGT